CACTCATCCGAGGGATGCGAGGCTGGTCCTGCACGGGCAAATAAATAGAGGTTGAACCCCTCAGCGTTGGTCCGGAGGCTCGCTCAGCCAGTGAGCGGGAACCGGTCTGTACGTGGGATCCGAACCCTCGGGTGGGAGCTCTGCCGCGCTTCCCAAGCGGCGCACTATCCAGTGCGCCACCGGGCCGGCCCAGCTTTGTAATTTTTAGTGTGCAGTTTTGCAAAACATGACATTTTTAGGAATGCCTGTTTTTTTTTTTTTTTTAAGAGAAAACACATTATAAAGACATACTAATATTCCCAGTTCAAATTTATGATTACACTTTTTTTTTTTTCCTTTTTGTCTTTTTCCGGGTCCGGCAATGGATCGCAACCCTCAGTGTTGCCCCCGCACTGGACCGGGACCGGCAACGGGATCGCAACCCTCGGTGTTGCTTCCGCGCCTCGCTCAGCGGGAACCGGTCTGCATGTGGGATCCGAACCCTCGGCGGGAGCGCCGCCGTGCTTCCCAAGCGGCGCACTATAGCAGTGCGCCACCGGGCCGGCCCTATGATTACATTTTTTAAAAACTTATTTGATTTTTATATTGCTCTTTTATGTTGTGAATCTGGGTGGTTCCTAACATTAACATAAACATGTATTTGCTTTAGCCAAATATATGAGGTTTAGAAAAGCAAAACCAATGTTATTACTAATGACACGATTACTGGAAACAGTTTAAGATTTCTTTGCAGTTCTTTGTCTCTAGGATATGTCTTGCTAAGGATGCACAGTCATCTTGTATTTTAGAATCACTCGAAACAAATCTTTACTGTGGTTAAGCCACCAATTCAATATCTAGTTAAATTCCGGTTTCTTTTCCATTTTGCTTTCGATTCATAGATTCCCTTCTTTCCCTTACTGTAATTTATTGGTTTTGCCTTCTCCTTCCATTGTTTTTGTTGTTGTTGCATATATTTTTAATATAAGCAAATATAAATTCATATTACCCCCTTTTCTCAGATAAAAATTTTCAGTGTACAACCTATTTTTCACTCTGCTTTTTTTGCTTAACAATAGATCTTGAGCATCACTTTATAGCAGTTATAGAAACATTCCTCATTCCTTACTATAGCCACATAGTGCTACATGGATAGATATACCTTAATTTATTCAGCAGTCCCTTATTGATAGTTATTTTAGTTATTTACAATCTTTGGCTATTACAAATAGTGCTGCAGTGAAGAGCTTAGAGTGTGTGTGTGTGTGTGTGTGTGTGTGTGTGTGTATATATATAGTGTGTGTATTTTTATTTATTTATTTATTTTTTATTCTTTATATTGTGTGTGTTTTTGCTTGTATGTTTTAGAGTTACATTCCCAGAAGTAGGATTGCTGGGTCAAAGGGTAAATGTATATGTGTTTTTGTTGGATATTACCAAATACCTCTTCATTTTTCATTCCCGCCAACAATGTGTGAAAGTGACTCCACACAGAAGATGTCGTCATATGTTACAGGGCCATTTGCATTGCTTGTTCTGTGAACTCTCTGTTCATCTGTCTTGCTTATTTTTCTAAAGCGTCATTAGTCTTTATTTTTAAAGCTGTATATTAATTCTTTGAGATACAAGTTGCAGATATTCTTCCCACTTTATCATTTGTCTTTGTACTTTGCCTAAAGTTTTTTTTTTTCATAAAAAGTTATTTGTTTTTATGAGTTATTTCAATTATTTCCGGATTTTGAATTATACTTAGGAAATTTTTCCTTATACTAGATGAATTCACCTGTGTCTTCTTCTAATGCATGTATGTTTTCATTTTTTTAGATTTAAATCTCTAATCCATTTAGAATTTATTCTGGTATATGGTTTGAGGGACAGATCCAATTTTTGTCTGATTCCATATGACTATACAGTAATTCTTACTAAATCGCTTACTAAAAAATTCTCTTCCTCACACTGATTTGAGATGCCGAAATTTTTTTCACTGTAGTATTGATATCTATACTCTATCACTTTCCTTAGCCTTATTAAGAAGTTTTAAATTAAGCAAATTAAAAATGAGTCTGACTTTATTAACTATAACATATTTCAAGGGGTAACTAGTGTTTTCCTAATTTCACATCCAAGCACAATTGACATATTGGCAAGGAAACTTTAAAATTCCAAGTCTACTACTTCAAACACTAACGAAGTGTTATTTCCTTACAGTGCCACAAGGTTGCAGTAGTGAGAGAAGATAAATTAGAAGGTAAGTGTTTTAGTAGTTTAGCGAGTTTTTCCTCTTATAGCATCAGTATAGATAACAATAAAATATCTGCCTCTAAAATCTGCTTATAGTATATTTAGCTATTTAACTGTAGAGATTTATATTCCTTTTAGTAGCAGTTTCTGAACATGTTTAAATATACGACATCTGTCTAACTTCCCATTTTTAAGGCTAGTAGTTGTTGACTTTTGTAAATGCTTTTATCACAGGATTTCAAAACTTATGACAGACATGCAAAAAACTATCATGAATACCATATCGGACACCTCTTCCACTGTAAAGAGACAGTAGTCTTTAAATTTTGTGTTCCATAACAGTTTTTTAGGAAGAAAATTAATGCTTTTCTAGAAGTCAGAAAGACTTCTAAATTAAATAACTTCTCAATTAAATTTGTCCAACTGTTTTAAGACTATTAATACTACTGTTCTATTGTTTAAAAACCCAATTCAAAAGAATTTTATAAAAGTCACAGTCCTCGTGATCTTGGACTCAAGACAAAACCTTCACTGTTGTACTTTGCATGTAAAGCTTCTTGCAGTGGTGGAGGTGGGGGGTCGCATTTTCTTACCAAATTAACTTTGAAGTATTCAGGATAGTGGCGATGTCCACTTTTTTCTTTCTGAATTCCCACAGTGGTAGGCAAAGCAAGATTTCTTCATTCTGTAGATTTGTAGTGATTGTTTACTATGTGCCAAGCTCTGTGCTAGGCACTGGGGATGCAGAACAAATTAGGCACAATCCTTTCCTTCGTGGAACCTAAAATTTATTCTTTGATGTTCTTTTGTGTTTTTCCTCTGCAGACTTATCTAGTTAGTAATATTTTTGTTATAGAGTTGCTTTCTTTAAACTGAAATTAAAATACGTAAATGGGGCTTCTCAGATGGAGATTAGTTATTCCTCTTTAATTGTATGCTGTAAAGCGTGGTGCTGATAATAACAAGGGCAAGGGTTCAGATCCCTGTACTAGCCAGCCTCAAAAAAAAAAAAAAAAGAAAGAAAGAAATTATATGCTAAAGTATAAGCTTTTTCCCTGAATGAAAAAAAAATCATAATCATCATCAATCATTAATTAATATTTACTGAGTGTCCACTGGATGAGTGATATTCTCACAGGTGCTGTACTTAGAAATGACTCACCACCACCTACCTTGTCATAATGTCCCCATTGCAGACAGAAGAGTTGATGTTATACTGTGTATGTGGCTATTTGGCCTTTTAGAGTTTTTTGGACCACCACAGGTTGCAAATGGTTTTAATGCAGAAGGGTTTCTTGTAAAAGTCCCCACATGCTATGAAGTTTGTGTATTAACAGACTGCTTTTCCTGTTGACTTGTAGCAGTGAAGTCCAAGCTAGCTGTGACTGCCAGCATCCATGTGTACAGCATCCAGAAAGCCATGCTAAAGGACAGTGGGCCTCTGTTCAATACTGACTATGACATCCTTAAAAGCAACTTGCAGAACTGCAGCAAGTAAGCTCCTTAATGTTCCTTGTGGGCTTCTTTACAAATTAATTTTGTAAGATGTTTACACAGTGGCTGCCTCTTAAGAGGGAATGCCAAGTCTAGTAAAACCCCATTTATCTTGCAGTAAGACATATGCCTGGTTTTATTAGTACATCATAAGGTGAAAAATAGCAGCTACAACCCATATTGAAAACCCCAGTGGACTCCCCATAAATCTGTTTCTCATATATTTATCCTGTCACCGCCACCAGAAATGTTTGTTGTGCCCTCTCATTACTCCCCTAACCCTAGTCTCTGCTTGTCTAAATTATATCCATCCTTCAAGAACCAGCTCAAATATTGTCCTTCAAAAACTATTCCTAATTTGATATCACTCTACCTTCCATCCAAAAGTAGCTTTTTCTTGAGCTTCCATAGCCAGAATGAGACCTTGTAAATCTTTTGTATCCTTCACAGCATAGGGAGGTAATAATGCATGTGTGTTTTGGAAATTGATAGTCATAGATACAAGTTGTGGCTTTGCTGATTAATAGCCAAGTGGCTTTGGACAAATTACTTAAACTCTTTGAGTTTTGGTTTCTTCATCTTTAAATTACATGTAATAATGCCTACTTTGTGGTGTAGTATTAAGGTTTCCAGTCAGTAATCCAAACATATATTGAGCATCTACTACTTCAACAGGTACTAAGCAAGATCATTTGAATTCATGCAACAAATATCTGATGAATACCTACGACATGCCACATACTATAGGGAGAATATGGCCCAGTACCTGCTCATGAAACTGATGGTCTGGTGGGAGGCAGGCAGTTACAGTGCAGTATGACAGTGCTATAATAGGAGTAATAGTGTAGGAGTATGTTGGGGGGTGGCACTATCCCCCACTTTTGGATGGGTTGAATGAGGGAGCGAGACAGAGAAGATGACACCTAAATTGAGGCCTGAAGGCCCAGTAGAAATCACCAGCTAAAGGAGAAGTGGGAGAGTAAGGACAGAGCTGAGAGAGAAAACATGCTTATGTGGAACCATGACAGTATTCTGTGTCTGGAACTTAGAGTGAGAGGTAGGAAATAATTAGAAGACTTAAGAGGCCATATAGGAGTCAGATTATGCTTTGAGTACTAGGAGAAGGCGTTTAGACTTTGTTCTGAGAGCACTGGGAAATCACTGAAGAGTTTTAAGCAGATGGAATGAAATGACCAGAATCAGATTTTAGAAAGGTCACTCAGATTGTGATGCTGAAGAATATAGATCAGAAGGGAATATTCTGGAGGCAAAGCCATCAGGGAGGAGAAATGTTGCAGTGATCCAGGGTGGAGGTGATAGTTTTCTGAAGTAAAGTAGTGGTGTTGGGGATAGAGAGGCACAGAGGTTAAAAAGTCAAAATCATCAAAAACTTGATGTGTGGTAATGATTGGGGACAAGGTGTGTGGTGGGGGAGGGCAGCTGTTCATGGTATTAAGGATGATACCCATGTTTCTGCTTTGGGCAGCTGGGCACTAAGAAAGGGAATATAAGAGGAGGAGCTGGTCAAGGGTTTGGATCTCTGTACTGGCCAGCTGTCAAAAATTAAAAAATAAGGAGCAGGCTTTAGGAGAGAGGGAAAAATGATGAATTGAGTTTGAGAAGTCTGCGAGAAATCCAAGTGAGCTCTAGACTCACCTGCAATAGATAGGTGAGTCTAGAGCTAAGGAGAGAAATCTGGATTGAAGACAGATATTTTGGAATCAGAGAAAACAGGTAAGTAACTGGGTCATAGCAGTAGATATAGTCATGTAGAGAGAATGTATAGAATGAAAGAAAGGCAGAAAGTTAAACTTTAGGCCACAGTTACTAGCTGTGTGACCTTGGGCAAATTATTTAACCTCTTTGTGTTTCAGTTTACTTATCAGTAAAATGAAGCTAACAATAGTTATCAAACTCACAGGGTTATACAGGATTAAATGAATAAATATATGTAAAGTGCTTAAAACAGCAGTTGGAACATAGTAAGCACTATTTAATGATAGCTGTTTTTTAAAGAATTGGCAGAAAAAGAGGGGCCCAAGAAGGAGTTACCGGAGGTAAGAGGAAAATCACAATAGTATATATACGGGGTTTTAGAAGGTAAGGGAAGAGTTTCAAGAAGGAAGAACTGATTGACAATGTCAAACGTTGCTGAGAAGCCACGTAAGATGGGAACTGAGAAGTGTTTATTGTATTTAGTGATGGCCTTGGTAAGAGCATTTTCAGTGGAGTGACCAGATTCTGGTCAGCTGAGAAATGGGGACATGAGGTGGTGACATAGCAATTACGTATAGCTCTTTCCAGGAAATTGGAAATGGAGGAAAAAGAGGGATTGAGATTAAGGAAGGATATATAATTATTTATTTATTTGTTTATTTTTTGGCAGCTGGCCAGTACAGGTATCCAAACGCTTTAACCTTGGTGTTATAACACCACACTCTAACCAACCGAGCTAACTGGCCAGCCTGATATATACATTTTTAAAGTTGAGAATGACTTGAACTTGTGTTGTTAGGAAAGAGCCATAGAGAGGAAAAGGTTGAAGGTACTGGGGGAGATGGGATAACTGATAGAGACAGGTCCTTGTGGAGAAATAGATGTAGACTTGCTAAGCATAGTTTCTGTAAGTTCCGTGAGAATAGGGATCATGTCTAATGTGTTAACTGTATACCCAAAATGGTGCCTGGCACATGGTAAGCATTCAGTAAATAATTGTTGAGTGAATTAGTGATAGACTTTATTTCTTTTTTTCTTTATCTCAAAATCTTGAGTATAGTAGGCATACAAATATTTATTAAATAAATAAATACAAGGCATCTTCAAAAAGTTCTTGGAAAGATTCGTATTATTTTTTAATTTCTTTTTTTCACAAACTTTTTGAAGTACCCTCATATAATTATGTATCCAGAGGGTAATAATTTACAAGTCTGGTGTCTTTTAGGGAAGGATTTCAAGAAAACATTAACACCCTGATAAGTTTGTGTAAATATTTTATTAGATTTGAAAAATGATCTGTATTAAAATCTAGTCATGTCATGTCAATATCTAAAAATCAGTTTCTCTGTTGTATCTAGCAAGTAAAAGCAAGCAAGAATAAAAGTGACTCAAAAGTTCAAAATGAAATTTGCACAGGGCGCACTAAAATAAACATGGCAAGTAGAAATGTGGTAATAGGAAGCACTTTACGTAAATACTTAAAGTATCCTCAGTAGAAATGTGAAGAATTTATCTCCAATAAAGAAGTTTGTATTTGGTCCTGAGGATTACAGGCCAACTGAGATCTGACTCATGATTTTATGTTTTAAGAAAGTGCTGTGACAGGAAGAAAGTTGAAATTTTAGGATTGAGCAGAGATTCTTCTCTCTTCAGACATGCGCCCAGACTAACCTCATTGCCAATTCCTGGTCCTGACCCTAAGGTGTGGAATGCAGACCAAATGGAGAAAGAGTTTTCTCAGGGCCAACTTTAGATGTTGACAATGAAATGAAACATTGCCCTTTTCCTTGTATGTGGAAGCACTGCAAGGCCAGAGAAGAAGAGGTGTGGGTGAAAGTAAATGATTTCCGTCTGTTCTTAATTCTGATGCACAAAAGATGTGTGTTAATGCAGGGTTTTCTGATGCAGACCATAATAAGCGATTTTTGGAACTGTAGACTCTAGCTTTGGGGCTGCTCATTCTAAAATTACTTCTGAAATGAAATGATATATCAGGGATTTTTTTCTTAGGCAGAAAAAAATTATTCTAGCAGTTAATCTTAAAGTTGTGCCTGATTGATCTTTAAGATAATTGCTGTCACCGCATAGTTTCTAAATCTCCTCCATCTCTCACTCCAAGTTGAGGTGATACACTAAAGAAAGAGAGAAACCAGAAGCCTCACTTTGTCATTTAAATAGTCATTCTTGGGCCGGCCTGTGGCTCACTCGGGAGAGTGAGGTGCTGATAATAATACCAAGGCCACGGGTTCAGATCCTATATAGGGATGGCCGGTTCGCTCACTGGCTGAGCGTGGTGCTGACAACACCAAGTCAAGGGTTAAGATCCCCTTACCGGTCATCTTTTTTAAAAAAAAAAAGAAAAAAGAAAGAAAGAAAGTATTGTGTGGAAGAAGCAAGAGTTTGAAGATAAGATTTGATACTAACATTAATTTAATATAACACTTCTGCCCTCAGGTTTAGTGCCATACAATGTGCAGCTGCAGTCCCTAGAACTCCTGCTGAATCCTCATCTTCCAAAAAGGTTGAGCAGTCAAATCTTCAGGTATCAAGTGAGGCACAAGCCAATAATGAGGTGACCACCAATGGTCATGGCCCATCAGCCTCCAAGCAGGTTTCCCAGCAGCCAAAAGGTATTATGGGAATGTTTGCCTCCAAAGCTGCTTCTAGAACTGAAGATACCAACAAGGAAACCAAAATAGAGGCTAAAGAAGTAACAAATGTAAGTTTTCTGTGAAGATATACCTTTATTACAATTCAGAATAGGTAACTAGAGAAGCATTAATTGATCCAGTGGTAGTAGTTTAATTATATAAGGTTCTGATACTCAGTTCTGATTTTCTACTTTAGTTTGAACCCTTTAATACTTGATACTCTCATCTGAAGTAGTCCTTTTTCTTTTGATAATGCTTCTCATCAAGCCTTGAATTCTCCTTCTGTAAAATGGTAATAATGCCTGCCCTGGGCACATCACAAGATTGTTGTGAGACCCAGTTGAAATAATGCATGTGACACACCTTGAAATTATAAAGTTTAAAGAATTGTCTATTAGCAATATGTTATTTGGGGAACATCTTCTGTTTGGGGCTTTGCCATATTTGCCTTCCTTCCTAATGTATTTAACATTCTTGATCTAATTTACACATTTTTCTTGATTTTTTTTCTTCATTTGCTTCTGTTAATTTTTTATTGTTAAGTCATCTGAACTAACTTAAGGGCATTGACTTAAGAAGAGTATCACTAAGATGTTTTAAAAATCCAAAACATGTAATTATTATCACTATTATTATTACTATTATTATTGTCATTTTCAAGCTTCTGCTTTGGGAAAGGAGAAAAGGGATGGAAGGAATCACTGCATTTATTGAATTTTTACTGTATGCCAATAGATTGATCTTTGTTTAAATCCTCTTATCAATTCTATGAGGGAGATATTATCATTTCCATTTTGTATGTGGTAAACTGAAGCTTATATTTATTAAATAATTTGCCTGGAGGTCATATTGCTATTAAGTGGTGGAACCAGGATTCAAATTCATTTCTGATGATTAAAAATGTAATGTTTGCGGTTCTCCTTCTGCATCGTGTACCATGCTGCCTCTGATCTGTTTTAATTCTGTCAAAACTAAGTACAAGAGTACTTCAAAAAGCTTCATGGAAAAATGGAGTTAAAAGATAATGTGAATCTTTCTGTGAACTTTTTTTTTTTTTTTTTGTCTTTTTTCCGTGTCCGGCAACGGATCGCAACCCTCAGTGTCGCCCCCGTACCGGACCGGGACCGGCAAGGGGATCGTAACCCTCGGTGTCGCCCCCGCGCCTCGCTCAGCCAGTGAGCGGGAACCGGTCTGTATGTGGGATCCGAACCCTTGGCGGGAGCGCCTCTGCGCTTCCCAAGCGGCGCACTAGCACAGTGCGCCACCGGGCCGGCCCCTCCGTGAACTTTTTGAGGACCCTTATAGTTTTTAAATATGCTCAAGAAAAGTTGACATATCCATGGATAATAATTTTATAAGAACTGTAAGAAACTAAGCTTTGGAGATTAACACCAGATACTGTTTGGTCTGGATTATTCTAGATTTGTTCTTATAGCTAATGTCTACACATTTTGGCATGATTATTACAGAGACTGTAGCACCATGATGGTGTGCTCTGCTATTGAAGAGATTCTTCAAGACTGTGCTGCTTCAAGGGTAGCCTAAATGCTAGAAAAAAATGATGCATGTTTTCTTTTCTATACTTTTAGGCATCTTCAGCAGGCAGCAAAGCACCAGGGAAAGGGAATGTGATGAGCAATTTTTTTGGAAAAGCTGCTATGAGTAAGCATGTTCTTACTTTCCTTTGACTAATAAATGAAAGTTAATGTAATAAAACATATCATACCTCAGGTGAAAGCCACCTTGTCTAGTTTTTGCCCATCTAGGAGACTACCATGTAGCGTTCCTGTATCCTAACATAAAATTTGCAGTGTACTGATCAAAATATTGATGGAACAGTGGACTTTATGGGTGATCTGGGCTCAGTGAGATCTCTTGGAGGGTAGTTTAGTATTCCTACTTTACTTCCCGCCTTGAAAAGAGAAAGAAATATTTGCTTCATAAGGGTCTTGAAAATGGGTGATGAAAATAAAAGGGAGGCTGCTTGGTTAAGCAGTATAGTGTTGAAGTTACTGTCATGTATGCTGGAGTCAGTTTGACTGGTGAGATCTTTATTACACCTGTCTCCCAAGGGGTCGCAAAAATCAATTTTGCCTTTCTTTAGTTATTTTTGCAGATTATTCACAGTAATGAATTAGACCTCAGTGTGAATTAGAAGGGTCCAGGTAGTAATGGCCATTTAAAAACATTTTTGAGAAAGTAAAAATCTCCATTATTAAAAAAAAATGTTAAATAAGAATTCCTTATTTGGAACGAATCCGTAATTACATATTTTCATTCTTATCCTATCAAATACACATTCCCTGAGAGTATGTGAAAAAATACCAGGAAGAATGTAGGAGCTGCAGGATAATTGTGGCACACTTTCTTGGAGCATCAATTTTAAAAAGATTTTACAGGGAAGCATTTTGTTACATGCCTATGTATGCAAAATTAGTCAGAAAATTGCTTTTGCATCATGGTTAAATCAGTGGTAAGAGGAAGGATTGGGGTGACAGGTTTTTATTTGCCATAAAAGCTATCAGAGAAGAACATTTTTGTGTTCTGAAGACATATGGAAAATATGTTATGTTCAGGTCATTGGGAAGCATGATGGTGTTATTGTAAGCACAGTGCACAGGGAGAGCTCCCTATTTCTGTGAAAACACATCATGCTAATGTCACTGGCCTGTGTGGCTGGTACTGGGCCACTGTATATCAAATTATGGTTTCTTGGCAATTTTGATGAGGCCCACTTGTTTGTTGTTTTTTAATACATTTGTAACCTTAAAAACCAGTGAGTTTAAAAATTATTATTATTATTATTATTATTTTCCTTTTTGTCTTTTTTCGTGACCGGCAACGGATCGCAACCCTCAGTGTCGCGCCCGTACCGGACCGGGACTGGCAACGGGATCGCAACCCTCGGCGTTGCGCCCGCACCTTGCTCAGCCAGTGAGCGGCCGGTCTGTATGTGGGATCTGAACCTTCGGCGGGAGCGCCGCCGCGCTCCCAAGCGGCGCACTGTGGCAGTGCGCCACCGGGCCGGCCCCTAAAAATTATTATTTTTTAAATACATAAGATATATGAGTATTTGGTAACTGTTAAAAAAAAATCAAACTGCAGATTTATACATTTACTCATGTATTTATTTAGCACACATTGATTGAGCACCTGCTGTGTGCTTGGCCCTGTTAGGCATTGGTGATACGATGGAGAAAAAGACAAACAAGGTTCTTACCCTCATACTCCTTATGTTCTACTGGGAGAGACAAAAAAATAAATACGGAAAAAATAAAAGCTAATGATTATAATTGGTAGGCAGACAGTAACAAAGTTTTTGCTAATATGTAATAAAGGGAGAGGGAAAACCTAGATAAAATAAAAGAATTAAATACGTATTTACCTAATACCTAATATAAAGAATTGCTTACAAAGTTGACTTATTTAACAGATATTTTTTCAAGGCTGAATGTTCAAAGTAATATTATAAACTTTTATTCTATTTGATACACGTAAAGATTATTGCAATGAAAATGAAGTTTGAGAACTGGATGAAGAGAGTTATTGTGGGGGCTTGAACCATTTAAAACTTAATGCTGGACAGAAACAAACGTTGACAAGGATGTGGAGAAATTGAGCCCTCAATCTTTGCTATGGGGAATGTAAAATGGTGTACTCATTTAGGAAAATGATGTAACAATACTTCAAAAAGTTAAATGTAGGGTTACCCAGCAATTCCACTCCTTGGTATCTGCTCAAGTCCACACAAAAACTGTACACAAATGTTCATAGCAGCATTTTTCATAATAGCCAGAAAGTGGAAACAGTCCATAGATCTGATGAATGGATGAACAAAATCTGGTATATCCAGACAATAGAAAATTAGTTAGCCATAAAAAGAAAGGCAGTAGAGATATGTGCCTTCAGCATGGATGAACCTTGAAACAATTATGCGAAATGAAAGAAGCCAGACACAAAAGACCACATATTGTGTGATTCTATTTATGTGAAATGTCCAGAATAGGCAAGTCTGTAGAGACAAAGTAGGTTAGTTGTTGTGAAAGGCTGGGTTGGAATTAAGGAGTGACTGCTAATGGTACTAGGTTTCCTTTTGGGGTGATAGAAATGTTCTAAAATTGAGTGATAATGATGATTGCACAACTAAACCCCCCTGAATTGTACATTTTATTTTATTTTATTTTATTTTTTAAAAGATGACCGGTAAGGGGATCTTAAACCTTGACTTGGTGTTGTCAGCACCACGCTCAGCCAGTGAGCGAACCGGCCATCCCTACATGGGATCCGAACCCGTGGCCTTGGTGTTATCAGCACCTCACTCTCCCGAGTGAGCCACGGGCCGGCCCCTGAATTGTACATTTTAAAAGAATGAATATTATGGTATATGAATTATATCAATAAAAAACTTAATGCTTTATATGTAATAAAAATTCAGCATTGTTGACAAAATTAAAAATTCATCATCAGTTATCTTTCTTTGCTTGAAAAGATTTCATATTTTCTTGAGTATAAAAAGGAGATGCTTTTGGGCCGGCCCTGTGGCTCACTCGGGAGAGTGCGGTGCTGATAACACCAAGGCCAAGGGTTCGGATCCCACATAGGGATGGCCGGTTAGCTCACTGGGTGAGCATGGTGCTGACAACACCAAGTCAAGGGTTAAGATCCCCTTACCGGTCATCTTTTAAAAAAGAAAAAAAAAAAAGGAGATGCTTTTAATCAGTCAGATGATATGTGACCTGATCATTCAGGTAACAAGAAAATGTTATTAAATTTTCCTCAACAATTGCCTGAAAATGAAATTGAACTACCTTGTTGCCAGCCAGTTGTATCTGCGTATATGTATAAGTTGGAGTTCCCAAAATATTGTGAAACCAATGCAAAGAGAAAAAACTCTGAATACTGAATCTAACATTTGATCAATGGTATTTTAATCCAGATCAGTTTTCTGAAAGTGTAAGACTTAATGTGATAGCTTCTCTTTTCTTAACCCATGAGGTAGGTAGGAAATATTTGGAGGTTTTTCCTTCTAATCACGTAATTTTAAAACAATTGCTATTAACATGATATAATTTATGTAATAGAATACAAAATTTACATAAATTTTAAAGATACACATGTAACTTCAGAGAATTGTTTTTATTTTAGTTGGCTGCTGACCCATAAACCATCTGGAGATACATGTTTACTCTCCTATACAATTTGGGATATTTTGGTGGGAAAGTTTGAGAAGCACCGATACTGACAACAACAGTATTGAAAATGCAAGAGAATATACCACCGTTGGGCTGGGGTTTCCACCATTCAGACTTCCCATTCTAGTCTTCAAAAAAATGAAATGTAAATAAGATTGCATTTAATGCTTTGATCCATCATCTACACTTTCAAATAATATACATTATTTAAAGTATTATACTAAGCTGAGGGTAACAGCCAAGACTAAGATGTCATTTTTTTTCCTACACTGTAGATGGCTTAAGCTATTATACAGCGTGTAAGCAGAATTACTTGTTGAGCCTCCTGTTTTTTACAGCTTTCTAATGTATTTTGTGACTTTACTTGCAAAAAGCTATCACTGATTATAGCATAAAGACTAGATTATATACTTCTATAGTTTCTCAGATGGCTTGGCCCTTCCTGCTTGCATTTCTTAGTCCTCTCCATTGCACAGTAGTTGTTTTTGCTTTTCAGCTTGGTGTAGGGAAAGGGGTAAGGACTTGAGGAGTCAAACTGACTTAGGTTCAAATCCTGGCTCTTACCTTTTCTATCAGTGTTATATTGGATAAATCACTTAACCTCACATACTGATCTCTTTTATTCCTTATAATATTGTAAATATGTTTGTTCAATTTACATAGAGAAGGCTGACTTTCAGGTAAAATAATTTGCCCAGAGTGAAGCAAAGGTTGAACCAAACATTTCTGATTTCAAAATAGTCTTCCAATTTTATCATTAAAGTAGTAGTGAGATAGTAGGGGTATCCAGGTATTAAAAGAAAGAAAAGGTCTTGCTGCAAATTCTGTTGTCATCATTTGTAAGCTGCGTACTCTTGGGAAGCATCTTTTAATACTTTCATTCTTAGTTTTCCTTGTCTGAAAAATTAGAAAGATGATACCTCATTAAGTTGTATTTGTTTTTTCTAAGCCTTGCTTTTATTATCATTTGGCATGGGAGCTGTGTATAATGAGGAATTACTGGGAAGCAGAAATGAAAGCATTTATAGCTAGAGAGTAGATTAGAAAGGAGAGCCATTTTCTGAATAGACTATGAGCTCCATTAGGACAGTGACTGTTTTTTATCCTTTCAGCCCCTGCTCCTAACATTACCTGGCACATAGTAGACTATCAAAAGAACAATGGATTAATATTGCATGGTGGGGTTCTGTATCGTCTACTATACTTTATTTATAGATAAACTTAAAGTCAATTTGGATTCAGAACAAGCAGTAAAAGAAGAAAAAATAGTGGAGCAACCTCCAGTGTCTGTCACTGAACCAAAGCTGGCAGCTCCTGCAGGCCCGAAGAAATGTAGCAAAAAAGCAGAGCCTGTTAAGATGCAGCAGATGGAAAAAAAAAGGTAGGAAAATTTTGTTGCTTGTGGGGGGAAAGTGTCTCTACTGGGGGTGAGAAGGTCTGTTTGGGCTTATTGACAGCAAGCAGTTTTCAGTTGAGTACTAAATCCTACTTAATGCCTGAGGGATATAACTGTACAACCAAAATGGAGAGAGAAGCTAATAGCTTATCTAGTGAAGTAAGACTGTAGAATCAGCCAGTTTGGATGATTTAGGGTCCAAAGTTTGGATGATTTGGGTGGGGACTATCAAAAGAACAATGGATTAATATTGCATGGTGGGGTTCTGTATCGTCTACTATACTTTATTTATAGATAAACTTAAAGTCAATTTGGATTCAGAACAAGCAGTAAAAGAAGAAAAAATAGTGGAGCAACCTCCAGTGTCTGTCACTGAACCAAAGCTGGCAGCTCCTGCAGGCCCGAAGAAATGTAGCAAAAAAGCAGAGCCTGTTAAGATGCAGCAGATGGAAAAAAAAAGGTAGGAAAATTTTGTTGCTTGTGGGGGGAAAGTGTCTCTACTGGGGGTGAGAAGGTCTGTTTGGGCTTATTGACAGCAAGCAGTTTTCAGTTGAGTACTAAATCCTACTTAATGCCTGAGGGATATAACTGTACAACCAAAATGGAGAGAGAAGCTAATAGCTTATCTAGTGAAGTAAGACTGTAGAACCAGCCAGTTTGGATGATTTAGGGTCCAAAGTTTGGATGATTTGGGGGGGGGGGGGGGCCTCCATTGATCTAAATTGATTGTCTTCTTCCTTAGTCCATTTTAAATTTGTGGACATGGTATTAAGTGTGCCTAATTTTTTGTGTGTGTGGGGGGCTATATCTGTTTTTTACTTAAAATTGCCAAATTGAGGGGTTAATATTTCCAGTCATATTTAAGAGAAAAAGTTCTTTGTTTTCTTTTTATATCAATGAGTTTATTTTTCAAGTGGTGAAATGTAATTAGAAAAGAAAATAAAAAGCACACAAGCTGTTAAAAATGGATCCAGGAATTTGAGACACTACCTCATAGCTGGTAGAAATTAGTCTGTTGAAAGAAATTCTAAAGGACACTGTCAGCACTGATAGGCCAGGAAAGAAAAACTTGACTTTTGTGGTAAGGTTGGGGCTACTCTCGTAGAAAACATCAACAAAATGGTGAAGTTTCACAGGGTTAAGGCTCTGCCAAGTGGGCCTTGCCTCCTAGGAACATGTGGTATGGATGGATTAAAATGTCCCCAACCATAGGTATAACAGTCACTGATGATGGTTATTGCCAGGAATACATTCAGTATTTCACTGCTAAGCAGGATGTTAAGCATAGGTTTTTAGTAGATGCTCTTTACCAGGTTGAGAAAGTTCTATTACAGTCCAGGTTTGCTGAGAGGTTTTATCATGAATGGTTTGAATTTTGATACGTGCTTTTTCTGCATTTATTGGTATGATCCTGTGGTGTTTCTGTTGATGTGGTGAATTACACTGATTGATTTAAACATGTTAAACCAACCTTGCATTCTTGGGACAAACCCCATTTGATCACGATGTATTACCCTTTTTATACGTAAAGGTACTTAGAAAAGTTTATGGAAAAACAGAATTAAAAGATAATACTAATCTTTCCATGAACTTTTTGAAGTACCCTCATATTGCTGGATTACATTTGTTAATATTACATTAAGAATTTTTTGCCTCTAGGTTTGTGAGGGCTATGTTAGTTATTTTCTTTACTGGCAATGTCTTTGTCAAGTTTCAGGATCAAAATTGTGCTCACTTCACAAAATTAGTTGGGAGGAGTTTCCTCTGTTTTCTGAAGGAGTTTGTATAATATATATTCTTTCTGTCTTAAATGTTTGATAAAATTCACAGTGGATATTCTTTGTAGGAAGATTTTTTATTGTGAATTTGATTGCTTTAAATAGAGCAATTCAAGTTTTCTAGTTCTTCTTGGATCAGTTTTGACTAAATTGTGTTTTTAAAGGAATTTATATGTTTCATCTAAGTTGTTGAGCTTATTGGCATAAAGTTGTTCATAAATGGCTGTACTCTTTGAGTATCTGTAGAATCTGTAGTTATCACTAGAGATTCTTTCATTATTTCATTTCTGATTGGTAGTGTGTATTTTTCTCTTTATCAGTTTTGTAAAAGGCTTATTAATTTTATTAATCTTTTCCCACAAAATAACTTTTTTTTTTTTTGTTTTGTCTTTTTTTGTGTCTGGCAACGCATCACAACCCTCAGTGTCGCGCCCGTACCGGACCAGGACCGGCAACGGGATTGCAACCCTCGGTGTTGCGCCCGCACCTCGCTCAGCCAGTGAGCGGAACCGGTCTGTATGTGGGATCCGAACCCTCGGCGGGAGCGCTGCCGCGCTCCCAAGCGGCGCACTGTAGCAGTGTGCCACCGGGCC